ATTTTTTTATAAGTTTGTTTATTTTTTTTAACCATTGATATTAATAAAAAATACCAAATGTCAAAAAGATTTTTAAAACTAACCAATTTAGCAACACGGTTAAAAAAGAATAGAAGTTTTTTTTTTTATATTGCGTCCTTTTATTCAGTACATGGACATGTTGCTTATATATCGAACACAATATGCATCTATGAAATCATTACAGTATCCCTGTGAGCAGTGCAAGACAAATAATTGTCTTTTTTTATTTGTTTCTTATAGCCATCGATTTATGGGTTTAATTTAAATACATTTTAAATTATAAATCAACCTGTCAGAAGGACTGCGGCTGGGAAGGTGCTTAAGGCACATTTAAATAGTCTAATGTTCATTCATAGGCATTCTCCTGTTTTACTGTAAATAAATACATACATGGAATGAGCCAGCACAAAAAAATAAAATAAACCACTTTATAAGAATCTTCTGTTACAGATTCCAGATATTAGTTCTTATCAGGAACGCAAACCAACAGATCCAATCAAAGGTTCACTTTGATGCTTTCTGGACCCTGAAGGTCCTCATAGGTTTGCAAAACATTCAAGAAGAGAAAAATGTATCAAGTTTCCATTTTAACTTCAGCCTTTTGTTTTTGCAGACTCTCAAAACTTTAACAACACTGGGAAGGAATTCGTTGTCGTTTTTCCAGAAAACATTGCCTACTATCATCCTACTGATCCAATAAACGAGATCTGGGTCACTGCTCTGCATTCTGATACAAGAATCACAATAGAAAAACTTAATATAAATAGCCAGCCTTTGAGAGTTACAGAGACGACAAATTTTACCACGGGTCTGGAACTTAAGAAGCCTGACATTCCTGAGAATTCAACCTCTTTAAATGTTTTCAGCATTTCTGACGAAGCCATCAAGGTCACCAGCACCAAAGACGTCGTCGTTCAAGCCATCAGCCTTAGAAAGAATAGTGTGCAATACGCTCCGGTTATACCTTCTCACAAACTTGGCACAAAGTACTTCATCCCACCAGTTCCTGGACTGGAAGAAAGCCCTGATGATGGAGCTGTAGTGGTAAATGTCACAGAGAGAGGTCCGTTCAGACTCATCATCGTCAATCCTGGTGAAGATCAGGCCAATGTGACCATTAAGGGGGGAGAGGAGTTAAGTGGTGCAATAGAACCTGGGAAGGTTGCTCAGATCTTGCTGAACAATAACGGGCAGTATCAGTATGTCGAAGCAGATAGGCCTGTGGCCGTCTTCTTCAGCCACCCCTGTGCTTTTCAGGATAACTGCACCTGTGGGCTTCTGCATGCCATGGTTCCTGCAGCCAAAGACGACAAAGAAGAGTTCCTCATTCCTCCGATTTTGGCTGAGCAGGCATCCATACTACTGTCTGATGAAAAGTCCAGAACATCTACTGACTCCACAGCACCTGTTGATTCTGAAGGGACAGTCATCCTTCACAAGCCCAGCTTCCTACTCACTCTGATGTCAAAAAAAGATTTTGGCAGCTGTTTTGTTCTCACACCACTGAGATATTTGATAAAAAGTTTTCACATCGTGGTCCATAAGGATGACAAAAACGGCATTTACATTGGAGGAGATCCTGCAGGGTATACAGGTTGGGAGGAGTTGAAGGGAACAGACTATGTCTCAACACATGTCAAGGTAACATTTCAAAAGGAATTCATGTGGCACAATTCCTCGGTAATGGCCGTGTACCTTGTGGGAGAGAAGAACGGTAGAATGTATGGAAACCCTGCGCCTGTTGTGAGCTCAATCCCAGGTAAGGAGGCACCAAAGCTCCGAATCCATCCAATAAATGAACCTTAATGAAGTAAAGGATGAGTTAAAGGATATATCGTCACAATAACTAATTCAATCTGCTATGTTTAAAATCTAAATTTAAAGATTGAGTTAGGTATTTAAAGGGACAGTGTGTAAGAAATTCAGCTATTTATGAACACAAATAAAGTATAATAAATAAGACTTTAATAACATAACATCAAAAAGTGAAGTGCTAAATTCACAAGGGGTGGTGCATCCAATGGGAGATGCCATGTTGCTCAGAGTAAATGAAGGTGACAGAAAGGCAGAGCTTAAGAAAGGCAAAAATGTCCGAGGATCATCCTCCCTTCCACCTTCTATTCATACTCTTTGTTCAGTGAGAGGCAAGAAAAACCCAACCACAGAAATAAAAAAGTAAAGACCCATTTTACCAGTCCACCCCTTTGGAATGGGTGTCGTCCAAAGGGCTGGACTCGTTCGTCTGCTTCAGTTTGCATGTTTTTTAAAGGCTTATTTGGGCTACTGTATAAGAGCCTCGAACTCAACGCTATTTCCGATATTTTAAATTGAAAATAACTTCCTAAGTGGGAAGCGAAATATCTTCAAACTTGGAAACAAAGTCCAAAAACAAAGTTTGTTTTTCAACTTATTTGGATTGACTATGACCTGGATGACTGAGAATCTTCACCAGCAACTTTAAAAATGGCTAATTTTCACAGATGTTATGGTAGCTAACAGCATAGGCTCCCTACAGTCCTCTTTCCAGAGGAATGTTTCCCGTGTTTTACAGTGTTT